ACAAGCCTGTTATTCCAGTGAGAGATAACTGGTGATACTATAAACCAGGAAAGCTGAGTTGTTAGGGTAGTTTGCAGTTTCATTAGAATCCCACATTGCATAAATGCAGTTCTTCCACCTGACTGCATTTTTAATGCAGAGGTATCCAGAACAACTAAACATTTATTTTTTTAAGTGGGTTTTGTGTTGTTTGTTTAAAAAGTGCAAGGAAGAGCTTATTTTATAAGTTGCCTATTATGTTTTTACATTATAAGCTGAGTGAACTATCTACAAGCGTGAAGAACAATTAAGCAGCACAGTTGAGCTAGCAGTTTCAGTAAAAATCTGGCTTCTACTCACTCTCCCACTGGTGCAACCTCAAAGGTTTAAGATGGAACAAGGCTACAGTAAGGCGGTTCCAAAAGAGAGGAAAAAAAAGAAGCTGGAATTACCCCTCTGCCAACAAGGACTAACAAAGGCTGCCTCAATCTGTTAGATGACACTGGAACCCAAGTGGTGTCTGAAATGGATGCTAACAGCAGGGAGGGGAGAGAAACTCAAACCCAGAAAGCGCAAAACAGAAATCTTCTTTCAGGAATGAGCAGCAGAGGAGAAAGAATAGAGCAGATCTTCTTCCCACTGAAGAGGCAGATTATTGCTGCTGACGGCCAAACGTGGAAGTGCCGCAGTAAAAGGCAGCCAAGCAACAGGGACTTACAGCAGCGATCCGACTGCTCAGTTTTTATATTTCTAAAGGTTTTTGTATTATATCCACTCAGGCATCAATCACAACTTTATTAAACCACAAAACAGATGTCAGTTCAATGGCTGTATCGGAAACATTTTGAATGACAGGCTGATGATGGAACAATTCCAGCCTCCATACATTATTAAACACATACTAATGCTGCTCTTTCAATGCTGCCCTTACAGACTCCCTCTATGGTACCTTTTTTAACAGCAGACCTAATTGCAGATGAATATTACATAGGAAAAACAAAACTTACTGTAATAAATAATGATACTAAACTAGTAAACAAAAGAAAAATTTCCATGTTAAAACTGGTTGTCTGTCTTCACATTGTGTTTCCTGGCATTAAGATTTTATTTTAATACAATTGCAGGAGCTGAGGGTGGGTTGTCACCTTACTCAGAATATTCAGAGTTATTGTCTTTTTGTTGTAATCTTGACATAATTTACCCTTAGATTTTCTTTACTTGTTTGTCCACAGCCAGTGCACCCATGTAAATGCTTTCTGCTCTTTTTGAGTGAAAAGGTAACATGAAAAATACATACAAATATGGCAGAAATCATCCCTTTGGCAGATTCTAGATTCCACCCCTCTGCTTAACTCCAGATTTCAGGCAGACTGGGGAGGTGATCAGAGCATCATACTTGCCTTTCAATTAATTGGTAATATAAACTGTATTTTCACTGGCAAAAAATAATTTGATTTTCATAAGGGCAGAGAGGAATTATGTTCTTGGTGGATGAAACACAAAGCACAGTAAATGGGAGATGTAAATGCTGTACAAAATTCTCTCACCGGAACATAAGGTCGGGCTGCCACAAACTGCAGACCATTACCTCCTCTCTTCCCTGGTGTCTTATACCATCCTTTGGTCTGGAGTATGTGCTGCAGCTGTCTGTTTCTATGATGTGGGCAGTGAAATCAAGTAAAGATGGATTTGGGGTTTTCACTTGGCCTGGCATCTTGATAGTCTTAGTGCATACCCCTGATTAAGGAGTGTTTAGTATAGCAGAGGTGTCTGATTTTATGCACACAATTCAATAATAGATAAGAAATAAGAATATGAAAAAAAATAGAATAAAATAAAATACATGTTCTTTGGGGATTTTGGAGAGAAAGAAAACTTTCCTAAACAAAATTCTTTGTGCTTTCTGGTCTGTGGTTACTGCAGCCAGTTACTGAAGGCTTCCCATAGCACAAGGGGAAGGCAGCTGGCCATGAGTGGGTTTTTTTTGTTTTCCCTTCTGAACTGGATGGTCCCAGCTGGAAGCAAGCCGCCCTGCCAGCATTTAGCTAGAAATGCCCTCTCTGGGCTGGTGACTATAATAATCAAGTGCAGACAGGGATGGAGGCAGCTGCCACCCAAAATCCTATGGGTTTTAAAGTGTGCTTCAGGACTAAGACATCAAAACTCAAATGCAGTTTTTGGTTGATGCAGGAATTGGCAGAGGCTGCTCTTACAGAGGTAGCTTGCCTCACTGAAGGGCTAAAGAGTGCTTCTCCAGGAATGGTCTCTCCTGTGGAATGATTCCAGGCTGGGCAGAGTATTTTAATCTTTTAGAGAGCATCTAAAGGCAGAGTAATTCCCACAAGGTATGAGGCATGCATAGGCCCTTATGCTATTTCTCTAGCTTACTCACTAAAGAATAGATTTTCTGTTGAAGCAATATTTTAGAAACCCAGCATTCATCCTGAATCAGGCAGGTTTGGAAGTGGGTTTGAAGTCAACTCACACTTAAGTGACCACAGAGGGTTGCTTTGGCTGAAAAATGTTACATTAATTAGCAAAATGGTTTGTCTAAGGAAGTGAACATATGAAAGCCTTTTAACAAAAAATGCTTTGCATACTGGAAGCTTTTAAATTAAATTGGGACAGTTACAGCCAATGCTGAGCAGAACCATTTGTGACTTTCTGGCTTGTTTGCTTCAAAAAATCTCTCTGGTTTCTTGCATGACAGCTGGTGGCTCTTTATGGCACCCCCTTGCACAGTTTTAAGGATAAGATTAAAAAATATATTAAGAATATAAGCATATAGTCTTTGTCTTATAACACATAAAACTTAGTCCTGCTGAGGTACTCACAAGGGCATGGTTTGGACTTTGTCCAATTTGTCAAGGCTTTATGCTCAATGCTCCTCTCTCTGAACTGAAATTCAGACTTCAGAATAAATGAAGTAAAATTATCTCTAAATGAATCATATGTGTAAATAGGTTGTCCCTTTCCTTCACGCTTTTTTTCTGGAACAGAACACATTAGGAAGCTACAATTTCAAGTCAGGATGGATACATCTAACAAAAATGCTACTGGCAGCCCAAATCCTGACGCTCTCCTTTCAATTTCTGACAGGATGAATTCTTGATGACCTCCATGATTATCCTGCTTGCATGAGGACTTTAACTGAATATAGTCCTGATGGTGTTTTTACCAAAGAGAAGTCTTGTATGTGATAAAACAGAATGTCACTTGAGATTTATGAAAAGCCTATGGATATTGTAACACCCATCAATCATTTACTCTTTCTTGCTCTTTAAGTTTTCTGTAAATAAATTAGGAGTTTTAAAGATAGTAAACATAAACCTATACGGTATACCTCTGAAAGTATTTCAAGAAGTTATCAGGGAATCCTGTGACCTTGAAAGATAAGACTGTATAAAGAGCTACAAAAAAGAAGGAAAGATTTCTTTCAATTGCGGTAAACTAAATTCAGGATCTTATTATCACCCTCTAGATCACCCACTGCCTTTCAGAGTCCATCGCCTGCCTCCCCAGATGATTTGTTACTACAAGCATTGTAATAGCAGTCTCAAGTCAGAAGAGAACATTACCTGGGACTTTCATAGCACTAAGACTGTGAGAAAATCATCACAGAAGACAATGTGCGTAAAAGTTGTAGAAATTACAATGACAAACAGAAGGAAAAATTCATAAGAGCTGCCCAGCAGCACAACCATTTTCCATTTCTTTGTCTTAATTTCTAAACACACTTTTGAGTGACAGTAATTACACATGCAGAAATTCTCAACAGTCCTCGTGTTTCCTGCAATTTCATGTCCTCAGAGGGGAAAAATGATGGTATTAGATTTAATTCCTACATCTTTTGACTGTTGAATTAAACATTTAAAATAACAGGAATAAGCAACAAACCATCATATTTAAGTTTTGTCAGAAATAAAAACAGAAGTCTCAGATCTTACCAGAGTTTTTCTTAAATAAGGGTGGAAAGACACTGGAGTTAAGTGGTTAAGTAGACACAGGGGGCTAAGTAAGTTTGTGGAGATGCAATTTTACTCTGTACCTATTCAGTTTTAAAAAATGGTTGGAAAACTTTGTTCCTATCGATTAGTATCAATAGGAGAAATAAATAGAAAAAATTCTAAATGCATAATAGATCTTTCAAGTAATTATTATGTGAAGAGAATGTGTGATAAAGACATAAAACTATAATGCTTATGCCTTCATTTTCTTAAAAATATACGTGTACATGCAGGGTGCACACATTCACATATCAAACTACGACTTATTTTGTGAAGGCTTTTGTACTTTAGGAAATTTTCAAAGAGTTGCTATAATTTTTATTGAGTATATTTTACCCTTCTCTGACTCTGGGGGTGTTACTTGTGTCTAACACAGCTTAAAGAGAAAATAATTGTTGAAATCTGCATGTTTAAATATATACTGGAAATACAGCTGACCTTGACCCAAAGTCACATTTCTGAGCCTGGAGCAAATTGTTATGGCTGGCTGCTATGGTTTAGAAGTGAGTAGCAGATCCTACCATGAAGGCAGAACTCCCATTTCCTAGAAGCATACAACTTTCTAGATTGACGTGCAAGAAATTTCTGACAAATTGATATTGGTTTATATTTATATGAGAATTAGTACAGATAATTCCTGCTAAGTACAGAGCAGGTTTTGTTGACCTACTGTTTTACTACTCATAGTACTTTGTCATTTTTGTTCTATAATACCTAGTGCTGACTGTATGATGGTTTTAGAAACATATCTGTAAATACATGTTTGTGTGACATAGTGATATGAGGATATTTTTTGTGTCATACATCATGTTTTCATCATAATGAAAGGCACTTTGACATCTTTGCTTGGACAGGGCCAGAAATCTCTGGACATGGAACAAAATCAAAGCAAACCATGACAATATTAAAATGGCAAAAAGATGAAACACTCAAAACCCAGGAGCAATAAATTACCTTGAGAAACTCAGTAAGTTTTGCAATACAGAAAGAAAATGGTATAATCTATGCTCTTACCGTTCCTGTTGTGCCCAAGGAAAGGTGGTTCATCTGTTGGGTCAGGGGGCCCATCATGCTTGCTGGCTGCATTGACATAGTGTGGTCCATTGTCGGTGTTATCACAGCACCCTAGAAACACACATCATTTACACTTCAACATTTCACTTAAAAAAAAAGAAAGAAAAAAGCAGCATTCTCTAAATGAGTGAACCTGGCTGAAAACTTGACATGAATCTTAAAAGACACTAATATATCTGTCAGAAGAAATACGTTTTGTTCCTCTTGACAACCAAGCTACACACATGTATTATTTGTACTACTAATGAGGCCATTTTATGTCGGTTCCAATTAAACGTCATATTTTACTTCATTGACAAACAAATGCATATGTTCTTTCTATGATGAATGCTACTGTAAATTGCAAAATGCCTGTCATTTCTATTTTACCATATTCTATATGGAACAATCTTACAGACAGAACACATATGTCCCCAATTTCCTCTGACTTCTAAAACCTTTAGTCTTTGAGATCTTCAACCTGTTATGGTAATTATCTTGGATTTTTCCAGTCTCAATTAAGAACCCTCACTCATGACACTTTATAGCTTATTAAGTAAGACCAGCTATTGACGGTAAGTTTGGTAGTAACACCCACTTAAAACACATACACAGTGTTTAAAAGCATTTTTCTTCTCCACGTGAAAAACAATGACATTAATAACAAGCAGCACATGAACTAAAGCAAGAGCAAGACTTTGAACAGAAATGAAACAAAAGACGTGCCAGAGGAGCTTTGAAGAAAGCTTCTTTGTCATTCATATTCCTGGGATTTTGATCGCCCACTCCCCAAGGTACCATGTTGGTAACATCATGCCTTAGTGAAGTGTTGACTCTCTTCAGTTTTATGGTGTAAAATACTGTTTCCTGTAAGTCAGAAACAGAGTGGTCCACTCTTTCTCTTGTAGTTAGTGAAATAAGGAGGCATATCCAGCCATTTCTTCATAAAAAATAATAGCTCTGCTTTGTGCATATGTATGTTTGTGTGCACACATTACAAATCTCACAATCACTTCTATGAGAAAGTGGGGAAAATATGGATGAATGTATTTGCTTAAAAAAAGGGAAAACCAACTTTTTTTTTTCCATTGAGATTACTGACAAATCCGCCTCTGGACAGGAATTTAAAATAAAATAGTTCCAAACACCTCAGCACACCTGTTCTTAAGTGTCTGTCTCAGCTTTATTACTGTACAGCTATGTGACTGCATTGCCCAGGATCTGATCAGAAGCAAAAGATTTCAAATTTTCAGTCATAAATAAAAACTAAACAAAAATAAAAAATGCTGGGGAAGTGCCTATTAATTTTTTTCTCACCTTCCAGCAATATTTTGTCTATGCACGTCCTATCTGAGAAGAAGTAGATTCTGCAGTCTCTGTGAACTCATTATTTGCATGCAATGGCAAAGAGGAAGTAGGCTTAGCTTGGTCAGTCCTTTCTGAAATACCCTTACCATACATGCTTGTTTTGTGTCACATAGAAGATTACATTTCTTGCGCTGACAAGAGTCCCTAGAGAAGTTTGGCAAATCACAGAAACTAGCCTCTGTAGAATATCTGTCATGATTCCAAGTAAATGCTTATAAAACAAGTTGATCAGTGTGCAAGTATCCAACCTGAAGTACTTGCGAACACGTTGGCTGTTTTCTTGACTATGCTAATTTGCACTGGTTTGCATTGATTAAGCCATTGATTAAGTCATTCTAATGAACTACCACAGGGCTAACCTTCTCCTTGTTGGCACTGGTCCTTACAAATCAAGATAGTGACAAACTTTCACCACAAAATTTCTTCCAGCACAGTAAAGTTAATATTTTATTCAAAAAAAACCTTCTTTCTTCCTTACATGACATTTCTCTTTCATGCTTCTATATTTTTCCTGAAAATCTACCTTTTTGCCAAAAGTCTGAATGCAAATCTGTGGGGCATTCAACCCATTTGGCAGTCCCTGCATAGCAGATTCAGTTCAAGAGTCTGAAGTAGCACCATGCCCAAGGAAAACAGTGCTCTTGAGGTATGTTCAGAATCAGTGGCCCGGGACACCATGCAGTCAGAAGAGTTGTTGGGGTTTGGACACCCACCTGTACTTTTTGGTTATGGTAAGAAATCATTCAGCTTTGTGAAGACCAAATCTGTCAACTGATAAATAGTTCTCAATTCCCTCTAGAAGCAGTTTTCTCCTTTGGCTTAGAGATGGAGAACTGTGTCAGGGCTTTCTGTGACAGACAAGGTGAGCTCACACTTGTGATGTGTGATGAGGGTAGGCAGAAAGTCACACCCGCACCACAGCTTCATGTAGCCCTGCACCCTCAGCAACAGTGGCTGCAATTAATTTAGGATGTCCTAGAGTCTTAAAACACCAAGCTTTCTTTGCAAGGATGTTTATTGCAAAGGTATGGTTGGAGGAACCTGCTGTGATTATAGATGTGACAGACTGATAGCTATTCCTGTGTATAAATTCAGGAACCTGGAAATGAAGAAGGAGCAGCAGTGAAGGAAGACTTATGATTTAGTGTAGCAAACACAAGTGCCAGACACTCAGTGGAAAAATCTGATAGCAAATGTCTTTCAGTAAACAAGAAGACAGACAGGTTTTGCAAATAAACTATTTAAAAAAAATAGGGATTGAAAAGAAAATATATCAAGCACAAAAAAATTACTGAGAGACAGTAAACATATTATTTTTAAATAGAAAATACATATATTCTAGTCCCTAAACACATCCTGTTTAATACATTAGGAAAAGAAGTTGGGAAAACAAATCAAGTATTTGCAGCTTTCCTAAGACAGCTTAAGATATTTGAAGCTGACAGCTACCTAGAGCAGAGAATTACATGCATTTGCCAGACTATTAATTCATCAGAGTTTGCAGAATCCTCTTGTGATCACATAGGGAAAAAAAATTATACTTAATTAAGGAAATATCGTCTGGTTGTTAGGGCAACACCCAGTCTCCAGACCATAATGCATTTCATAATACATGCTGTCAAGTCCATTCATATTCAACTTATTTAGCTGTAGAAGACAACAATGTCTTGCATCAGATGTTGCCATCATATTAGAAGTAATTTGATTCTTTTCAGCCTGTAATAGGTATTTGCTGATAATCATCCACTTGGCGACTGGCAAAAGCTACAGCAAACATTTTTCATCTGCATCTGTTTGGATGTCTGATTTTACTGAGTTTATGAACTGTATAGAGAGACATCTTAGCATGGCATAATACCACTGAAGGCCCAGATTAGTTAAAAAAACCTGTAGAAGAAATTATGATGAGGTTTTTGCCACTGCCTTTGCCAAAAGTAGTTGGCCTGCCAGTTATTTAAGTCTGCCCTGTTGTCTCAGTATGATTAATATTTTTTTATACTTCCTGCAAGAAACTGGTTACTATAATGACTTTTAAATTTGGCAAACTATTCTTGGCATAAAACTTGTCATACTATTCTGTTAATGCTATAGTGGCTTTAAAAGAAATTAACAGGGCAAATGGTAAGGAATCAATGACACAGAAGAAAACGCACAATTATAGCAACCCTGTGATAAACCCAAGATACATTTGTTGACATACAGACTTTAATTTCTCTTCACTTTATTCGAAAGGCCTTGCTGTTTTAAAATTCTCTAAGCTCTATGGACATACCTTTCATGTAAGAAAGTGAATATATTTATCTGAGAATGTTTTCTAGTCCATTATTTGCAAAGAAGAAGTCTGACTTCATCAACTACGAATACTGTTCACTCCCTGTATGGCAACACTCTGGAATCACAGGAAGGACACTAAATACAGACTGTTTATTGCATTAAGTAAACTTCTTTAAATGCTTGCCAATACCAAATACCAAAAGGCTTTTATGTTGGTACAATGACACATGCCACCTTACGTGCTTTGAAGGGTGGGAAAGAGACATCAGAAATAAAAAGTGTATTAGGAGGCTTTAGGAACAGAGAGTTCACTAGTTGAGAGATGCACTTGGGGGCCAGTGGGTGGAAGATTAGTTAGTCCCAGCTTTCTACAATAATGAACTGTATTAAAGGCTTCTGTTTTATTCCAGTGTTCTAATACTGATATTGGACTTAAGGCACAAATACCAGCTGAATAAATAGTTTTTAAAGCTCTCAGTAAGCATCTGCTTATTTGACAGTTTACTTTTTCTTTATTTAGGAAGTTTTAACAAGTTAAGCATACTTACAAATTCTAGTTTGTAAATACTGGCCAATGTAAAGACAACAAATATCACAGCAGCAAACTTACTTTCCAGATTTGTTTACAGACACATTGTGCTGTCATATAAGCACCAGGTCATTGCATCTGAAAAGTTATTACCATACTACCAAGCAAATGTCTTTATGTTATCAAGAACATGTTGTTTCTTGAGGTGTTATTAAACTGAGTGAAAGGATGACTTTATACTTATCAGACAGACATGTCTGTCAAGAATTAATATGAAAAAACCCCAACATGCATACTTTTTTTTTGCAGATAAATGTACTCTCTCTGCATACCGAATAATGATGACCATATTTATATTGATTTACTCTTCTGTCTAGATAGACTTGTCTCATCTGGATTGCCTCTTACAGACAACAGAAGAAATAGGATCCCCTTGTCAGAGCAGTGAGCCTGGTGAAGTACTCTGAACTAGCTATTAAATGGCCAAACTTCCGTGACTACAGTAGGATGATTAAAGGTAGCTGTGAAATCCTCTCTGCTCTCTGTCATCAACTCTGCTGGGAATACTTGTTGATATTTCGTAAAAACTGAATAAAAACATATTCTTCTTTTCTCAATGAAAAGTTACCAATTACCTTGGCATTTAGTAGCTGATAAGAAATAAAATCATGATTTGAGTACAGTGAAGAAGATCTGAAGACATCAACTAATAATGTATATTTTGCAAACTTTAGGATTTGTTTTCATTTCATAACATTGTTGAATCTAAAAGCTCAAACCCTGCACTAAATTAAAGCAGCTTTAATTCTGGAATGGACAAACCCTGATACAGACCTTCAGCAACTTTGAGTCCTGTTTCTGTGGCAAATATTAAATCAAACTGTAGTATTTCTAATCTTGG